TGGACAGCTCGTCATTTCCTGTTGCCTGATTGATTTTTCAGAAATATTGCGTCAAAATGGCAATAGTACACATAATACACGATTTTATAAACAAGGTGGTTGATGGTTCATCTTTTAAACTGTACTTACATTCCCTCTTCGTGCACTTTCATTCACTAAACTTCCACAACAAAACTTCTACAACAAATAAACCCGTGTCAAACTAAAGAATGCATAAATTAAGCATTTGTACATATTTTTTGTTTATGAATAAATTAATTACAATTAAAAAACATCGATTTACATACTTGACGGTTTTATTTTCTCAAATAAAGTACGTATATACGAATGCATAAATTTAAAATAGCCACGTTTCGCGTCAAAATGGATGTGAGTTTGTGATACTTTATAAATCTAGTGACTTTAAAATTACTCACACACTACTGCCAGTACATTTATTTTTGATTTGGGGACTACGTGACTACTTACATTTTCTGACACTGTCGATAAAATCATAATAAAAGTGGATGTGGTTCGTGTCTGTAATACATCCATAGGATAGAAGCGTGCCGACTCTTTATATGGAGAAAAGAGAAGATTCTCTCATAAAGAATAAATTTTTCTCGTTATACTCGCAGAATGTCTAATTAATTAAATATGTACGTCTTTCTGTTAATTATTGCATGGATGCATTTTATTTACATGGCTTTTAACGACATGTATCAACTTGAGTTGAAACTGATAATTTTAATAAAATATTTTATATATTGAAATTATGTGCACAATATAATGCTCTTTGTAAAGTGAAGATAAGTAGGGAAAACTGGGGCTTGTTGGCATAAAAGACAAATTGGTATTACGTTCCATTTATGTATTTAAATATTACAAAATATACAAAAGAAATAGACAAAAGAAAATATACTGCAAAATATTTCTTTTACAACATAGATACTTCTTCCTAGTTCTCCATTTAAATCAAACAAGTATTACAATTGATAAAGAAAAAATTCTGATTCAAGAGCAGGCAAGTAAATTTTTAAGCATTTTGTAATTTCATATTAATGTTCTTCGACTCAAGAAAGCAAATTTAAGCAATGTATTATTAGTTAAAAGAAAAGTGTTTGTTAGATACAATATTGTTAAATACAATATGTTATTTTGATTAACAATGGTAATTGTTATAATAAGATGATCACGTGTGCAGGGATGGGGTACGTTGGCTCATATCATAAAAAAAAATTAACTCGCTTCGGCTCATATCATAAAAAAAAATAATATCGCATGTGTAAACATTCAATTACAATTTAACTCTGACAAAACGCTTTATATTTATATAATATTTCTATATTAAAAGAAGATAAAATTAAAATAATTTACACTTATTTTTCTATAACAACATTTTGATCATTACAAAATAACTTTTAAAGATACAATTTTGTTTTTTACTAAAAAGAACATATCTATTATCTTATTTTTATTTCTATTACGTTTGTGTTAATGTAATATACGTTTATCATAAATGCAATTTACATTGTGATATGTATCAATTTACTTCATATATCGGGTTAATTGACTACACTGCAGCATGTCCACATTTCATTTATTGCAAAGAAATTATACTGTGTATAGAATCATTAATCATATGAAAACATAAAAAAAGATTCTTTTTATCATATATTGATATATTTTAATCATAATAATTCATTGTTTAAAAAATCTAATGCCGAAATTGTGAAAACTGTGCCAAGGAGAAGAGACCCGGTCTTCCCTACAATTATTCTTATAATAAATATAATTTATTAGTGTAAACATAAAACGTGAGTTAAATTTAATTTTATTATTATTTTTTATTTTTATTCTTAATACAATAAAATTTAGAAAAGGGCTAATGCGAATCAAACGTAGATATAAA